GTAGAATGGCGGTTACTAGGGGCAAGTGAAGAGGGAAAAGGAAAATTGTGTTTAATGGATATAGAGTTTCAGATTTGCAAGATAAAAATGTTCTAGAGATCTGTTTCAAACAATGTGAATATACTACTGAACTGTGCACTTAAAAATGGTTAAAATGGGGCTGGGTGTGGTGGCTCACACCTGTAATCTCAGCACTTTGGGAGGCCAAGGCAGGCAGATCACTAGAGGTCAGGAGTTCGAGACTGGCCTGGCCAACATGGTGAAACTCCATTTCTACCAAAAAATACAAAAAAAAAATAGCTGGGCTTGGTGGCATGCACCTGTAATCCCAGCTACTCGGGAGACTGAGGCACGAGAATCGTTTGACCCCAGGAGGCAGAGTTTGCAGTGAGCTGAGATCGCACCATTGCACTCCAGCATGGGTGACAGAGTGAGACTTTGTCTCAAAAAAAAAAAAAAAAAAAAAAGATATGCATAGAATGAAAGTGAAGGGATGGAGAAGAGTGTTCCATCTTTTCAATCATCCAAACAAGAACAGCAGTAGCTATATTTGCATCAGATAAAACGGACTTTAAGGCCATGCGCAATGGCTCACGCCTATAATCCTAGCACTTTGGGAGGCTGAGGCAGGTGGATCACCTGAGGTCAGGAGGTCAAGACGAGCCTGACCAACATGGAGAAACCCTGTCTCTACTAAAAATATAAAATTAGCTGGGCGTGGTGGTACATGCCTGTAATCCCACCTACTCGGGAGGCTGAAGCAGGAGAATTGCTCGAACCTGGAAGGCAGAGGTTGCAGTGAGCCAAGATCACTCCATTGCACTCCAGCCTGGGCAACAAGAGCGAAACTCCATCTCAAAAAATAAAAAAAAAAAAAGGACTTTAAGTAAAAAACAATAAAAAATGATAATGGAGACCAGGCACAGTGGCTCACACCTGTAATCCCAGCACTTTGGGAGTCCGAGGTGGGCGGATCACTTGAGGTCAGGAGTTTGAGATCAGTTTGGCCAACATGGTGAAACCCTGTCTCTACTAAAAATACAAAAGTTAGCCGGGCATGATGGTGGGTGCCTGTAATCCCAGCTACTTGGGAGGCTGAGGACTTTTTGGATAAGACCTCAAAAGCACAGGCAACAAAACCAAAAATGGACAAATGGGATTATATCAAACTAAAAATCTTCTGCATAGCAAAAGACACAATACAATGAAGAGACAACCTACAAAAAGAGAGAAAGTATTTGCAAACTACACATTTGACAAAAGGTTAATATGCAGAATACATAAGGAATTTAAGCAACTCAGAAGCAAAACAAAGACAAAAACAAAAACAGTCTAATTTAAAAAATGGGCAGGCCGGGCGCGGTGGCTCAAGCCTGTAATCCCAGCACTTTGGGAGGCCGAGATGGGCGGATCACGAGGTCAAGAGATCGAGACCATCCTGGTTAACACGGTGAAACCCCGTCTCCACTAAAAAATACAAAAAAAAAACTAGCCGGGCGTGATGGCGGGCGCCTGTAGTCCCAGCTACTCGGGAGGCTGAGGCAGGAGAATGGCGTGAACCCGGAAGGCGGAGCTTGCAGTGAGCTGAGATCTGGCCACTGCACTCCAGCCTGGGCGACAGAAAGAGACTCTGCCTCAAAAAAAATAAAATAAAATAAAATAAAATAAAAATAAAAAATGGGCAAAAGACCTGAATAGACATTTCTCAAAAGAAGATACACAAATGACCAACAGATATATGGAAAAATGTTCAATATCACCAATCATCAGAGAAATGCAAATCAAAACCACAATATCACCTCATCCCAGTTAAAATGGCTATTACCAAAAAGACAAAAAATAACAAATGCTGGCAAAGATGCAGAGAAAAGGGGACTCATATACTATTTGTAGGAATGTAAGTTAGGATAACATTATAGAAAACAGTATGAAGTTTCCTTAAAAAATTAAAAATAGAACCACTATATAATTTAGCAGTTCCACTACTGGTTGCATCTCCAAAGAAAATGAAATCAGTACGTTGAAGAGACATCTCCACACCGATGTTTACCACAGCACTATTCACAATAGCCAAGATATGGATCAACCTAAATATGCATCTACAGATGAAGAAAATGTGATATATATATGTGTATACATACATATATACACATATATACATATATCATACATATATGTATATATACATAAATATATGCATATATACATATATACATATGTGTATATACATATATGTGTATGTATATGTATACATATATATGTATAAATACATATATATGTATATATGTGTGTATATATATATCTTGGCTATTGTGAATAGTGCTGTGGTAAACACCGGTGTGGAGATGTCTCTTCAACATACTGATTTCTCCATGGGTGTGGAGATGTCTCTTCAACATATAAGATTTAATTCTGTTTTATGGCTGAATAGTATTCCACTGTATATGTATGTATATGTGTGTGTGTGTGTGTATATTTACACATACAATGGAATATGATTCAACCATAAAACAGAATGAAATCTTGTCATTTTTGGCAGCATAGGTGAACCTGAAGAACATTACGTTAAGTGAAATAAGTCAGGCACAGAAAGACAAATACTGCATAATATTACTCATATACAGAAGCTAAAAAAGTTAATTTCACAGAAGAGAGTAGAATAGTAAATACCAGAGGCTGGGGAAGGTAGGAAAGTGGGGGATTGGGAGAAGTTGGTCAAAAGTTGTAGTTAGATAGGAAGAGTAAGTTTTGGTATTCTATTACACAGTAGAATAATTGTAGCAAATAACACTGTAGTGTATATTTCAAGACAGCTAGAAGAGAGTTTAGAGAGTTATCACCACAAAGAAATGATAAATGTTTAAAGTAATGGATATGGTAATTATCTCAGTTTGATTATTACACTATGTATATATGTGTCAAAAAATCACATTGTACCTCATAAATATGTACAATTACATTAAAATTATAAATTAAATTATAAATTAAAAATAAAAATGGTTAAAATGATAAATTTTATATTATGTGTTCTTCAACACAATAAAAAATGAAAAGGAAAGAATATGAGCTCTATAGGGAGACAACTTAGGGTAGCATATTAGTAATATTAATTTATACAAGACTAGCCATGCATTGTGGCTCACGCCTGTTTAATTCCAGCACTTTGAAAGGTCAAGGCAGGAGGACTGCTTGAGTGTAGGAGTGCAAGACCAGCCTGGGCAACATAGTGAGACCCTGTCTCCATAAAAAATGAAAAAAGGCAGCTGGGCGCAGTGACTCATGCCTGCAATCCTAGCACTGTAGAAGGCCAAGGCAGGCAGATCACTTGAGGGCAGGAGTTTGAGATCAGCCTGGCCAACACAGCAGAAACCCTGTCTCTACTAAAAACAAAAAAAATTAGCCAGGCGTGGTGGAGTGTGCCTGTAATCCCAGCTACTCAAGAGGCTGAAGCAGGAGAATCGCTTGAATGTGGGAGGTGGAAGTTGCAGTGAGCCGAGATGGTGCCATTGTACTGCAGCCTGGGCAACAGAGCAAGACTCTGTCTCAAGAAAAAAAAAAAAAAAAAAAGGAAAGGAAAAGAAAAGAAAAGAAAAAAGGGCCAGCCATGGTGGCTCACACCTGTAATCCCAGCACTTTAGGAAGCTGAGGTGGGCAGATCACTTGAGGCCAGGAGTTCAAGACCAGCCTGGCCAACATGGTGAAACCCCATCTCTACTAAAAATACAAAAATTAGCCGGGTGTGGTAGCACATGCCTGTAGTCCTAGCTACTTGGGAGGCTGAGGCACAAGAATCACTGGAACCCATGAGGTGAGGAGGCTGCAGTGAGCTAAGATCGTGCCACTGCGCTCTAGCCCGGGCAACAGAGCAAGACTCTGTGTCAAAAAAATGAAAAACGAAAACAAATTTATATGTGACCTTGAACAAGTTACTTACTCTAAGTTTGTCGTATGGCATAAAAATGGGTACAGTAAATATTAGTTCCTGCCCTTCTCTCATCTAAATTGCCTTCAAAGGCTCATGCCATTGTGTTAAACATCTTCAGTGGTGAGAAATCTTTAATCTTTAATGATGGATTGGAAAACATAGTCAACTAAAAGCGTGCAAGCTAAGTTTAGTGAACAAATGATGAATAGTTTTTAGCCTAAAAGACATTTTGCAGAAAGAACCCTATGAATCTGAGCTACACTATGATCTATGATCATATCACTATTAATTTACTTTTTGGAAAAGTTCTCACAGAAGTCCTCAACATTTTTCAAATTACTGTAGGTTAAAATGATATGTTTGTCCTGGTTAATTCTGCCTGCACTGCATGCCCCTGACATGCACGTAATTCTAGAATATTAAAATTGTGCATTGCAGACTTTGGTAACCTGATTTTTGGATCATACAAAATACATGTTTTATTAGATGTTACTATTTTCTTCAAAAAACATGATTTTGTCATATTAGAAGCAACTATATGTCCCTAAAACAATCACTTACTCTGAGTTCTTACAAACTGCAAGAATAACAAACCATTGGTATAGGGTCGTACTTTACGGTACCTTTATCATACGCTCAGGATAATATCCTAAATTTCCATCTAATTTTCTCCTGTCACAATATAAGTACATGCCCTCTTGTCCTAGAGTCTGTTAATAACAGAACAACTACAACTACAATTTCAAAGTCTGGCATCTAGGATAGTTATTAAATCATCCTTCATCCCTGCCTTCTCCAAGTTAAATAATCTAAATTCTTTTGCTTATTCTTAATATGTTCTAAATTTTTCAAAGCCCAAATCATTATATGTAATACTAGGAAAATAACTATTACATACTTTACAAAGATAACTAAGAACAAATATAGAGTTAAAATTATAGCTATGTAAAAATAGCAATGTGACAGGTATAATACAATTATGAATAATAAATGGAGACCCAGAAAAACTGTCATTCATATATTAATTCTACAGCGTGATTCTACTTCTGGCATTCTAGAGCACAATAATCCTTACCAGGGGACTTTCCTTGTTGTGAGTTGCTTCTGTGCTCTCTGTATCTGGCTGGAGTGGCTAAACCTGTGTCTTTGCTAGGCTTGCTAGCAGGCCCCATTTCTGAAATGAGGAATCCCATCTGTTCTGAAGGCAAGATATTCTCACGTGAACTGGTCTGGCATTTTATATTGGCATCCACCTAAAATATTAAACCCATTCATTAATTGAGATTTCCTCCAAATATATGCTAAAAGTTAAGATATTTTATCAGAGGAGTTCTATTATAGGAACATGATCCAACAAACAAGCTTATAAGGCTTTTCATTCTTATAAATGATACTATACCTTTCTCACAAACTACTAAAATGTATATGGAGCTAAAACATTTACTTATGATCAGAGAAATATTTACCATGAAGCTTGTTGATTTTTTTTTTTAACTTACAAAAGTGCAGGGTTTTTTGTGTGTGTGTGTTTTTTTTTGTTTTAAGGCGGGGTCTCACATTGTTGTCCAGGTGGGAGTACAGTGGTACAATCATAGCTCACTGTAACCTCAAGCTCTTGGGCTCAAGTGATCCTCCTGAGTAGCTAGGACTACAGGTGCTAATTTTTAAAAAGGTTTTTTGTAGGCTGGGCGTGGTGGCTCATACTTGTACTTCTAGCACTTTAGGAGGCTGAAGTGGGTGGATCACAAGGTCAGGAGCTTAAGACCGGCCTGGCCAACATGTTGAAACCCCGTCTCTACTAAAAATACAAAAAATTAGCTTGGCGTGGTGGTGGGCGCCTGTAGTCCCAGCTACTCAGGAGGCTGAGGCAGAAGAATCGTTTGAACCCAGGAGGTGGAGGCTGCAGTGAGCCAAGATTGCACTACTGCACTCCAGCCTAGGTGACAGAGAGAGAATCCATCTCAAAAAAAAATTTTTTTTTAATTTGGATTTTTTTGGGTATTATTTTAAGGGGTACAGGCACAATTTTGTTACATGGATATACTGCATAGTGGTGGAGTCTGGGCTTTGAGTGAATAGTGTACAGTGTACCCACTAAGTAATTTCTCATCTCTGTTCCCCCTCCTACTCTCCCACCCTTCCACATCTTCAGTGTCTCCAATGTCTATTATTCCACATTGTATGTCCAGTGTGTACACATTATTTAGCTTCCACTTATAAAATGAGAACAGGTGCTATTTGACGTTGTTTCTGTGGATGTACTTTTGATGAATTATTCTTACTAATTATTGAAAATTAAAGTTTATTCATTTTCTTGTAATAAACTAGTGGCAATAAAGGAATTAGCCTTTACCTTCTGCTTTAGGAGTGCAGATATTAGTGAGGAAATTCAAACACAGTATGCTCACAAGTTACAGTTCAATGATGCTGTAATAAAGTTAGAAAAGACCTCCAACCATCTCCTTACCTCTGTGCTACAAATGGCTAGGAAAGTCCTCATAATGTCTGTCAAATAAACCATCCCTCCTGGGTAACAGAATTATCGGCCAGGCATATCTAATCTATTTGAATTAAGATAGGAAGCAAAAACTCAAGGGATGCTTATAACATGAAAATAAGCTTCATACCACAATGCTCAATTAGACAACCTCTCTTTAGAGGTTGACTTCAGACCATGCATAATACAATGAGAGGATGCTTAAGGGTTAAGGTAACTTCTTTCTGAATCTTTTGTGCAGAAGCACTGGGACATGATCCTCCTGGAAACCATAATGAACTGGTATTAAACCCAAATAAAATCTGAACAAACTCTCCACTAGAATAGTCTTTAGCAGAAGCACTAGGTACTTTAAGCTTTATTAAGATTTTTTCTTTGCCCCCTTACCTGGTGTGTGCTGAATGGTGGCCCTTCCTGCACAAATACTACTGAAGATGGAGATGGATTATGATTTAGGTGCTCCTTCAGTTTGACATGAGCTTGCTGGATGGCTGTAGATTCCTGTATTGTGCTATTTTCAACAGGCTGAGCTGTGTGGATGGTATAGATGTACTCAGGTGACTGTGGTAGAGAGCAGGCAATTGCTTGTTCTGTTCCAACCACAAAAGACATAATATCTGAGCCTACAGGAGTAAGTGGCTCCAGCTGGCTAGCCTGACTTGCAGAACATGGATTGCTGTTGTTAGAATTAGCTAGAATGTGTTGGCCTCTGTTAGATTGAGATGTTGGGCACTGATTCTCAACAGGCTCCACCTTTACCATCTCCAATTTAGGGGAGGAATGCAATTCATCTACTATCTGAAAGACAGCCTCTAGGTTTACTTCTGTCTTTTTATTTTCATCAGTAGTACTGCAGGGCCAATTGGAAGGCAAAAATTCAACTGGATAGGAGGATTGCATTGAAGGATTCTGGGAAAAGAAAAAATATAACTGTTTGGATAGAAAATCAAATATGAGATTAAGGAGGAAAGCTACAATATTTAGGCTGATGAGTGCTAAACATAAGTAGATTAAACTTAAAGATCACTAAGAAAACCTAGACACTAATCTACTTTTCAGCAATAGTAGCTTCAAATCTACTGTTAGCATTTACTTAGTATGTACTACATGTCAACCACTCTGCTAAGTTTAACACTTCAATGGGTCAATAATTCTTAGGGTTAAACTATACAAAATCAAAAGCTATAGTACCCAAATACCTATTTGCTGAGAAAGCATCTATACACCAAATTCTTCCATAAAAGCTGACAGACAAAAACATAATTTGTATCTATCATATACTGTTTTAGGAATGCAGTAAGGAAATTTCAAACACAGGATGCTCAAAAGTCTACCAATCCTTCTACAGATTCAGGGAGTGGTATTAATATTCTGTTCCAAACAATATGGGGAAAAATGGATGGAGTATCAAATGCCCTTTGTTTCCTGGGATTATTTATTTTTAATAATAAAGCAGGCCGGGCGCGGTGGCTCAAGCCTGTAATCCCAGCACTTTGGGAGGCCGAGACGGGCGGATCACGAGGTCAGGAGATCGAGACCATCCTGGCGAACACGGTGAAACCCCGTCTCTACTAAAAAGTACAAAAAAAACTAGCCGGGCGAGGTGGCGGGCGCCTGTAGTCCCGGCTACTCGGGAGGCTGAGGCAGGAGAATGGCGTGAACCCGGGAGGCGGAGCTTGCAGTGAGCTGAGATCCGGCCACTGCACTCCAGCCTATGCGACAGAGCGAGACTCCGTCTAAAAAAAATAAAAAATAAAAAATAAAAAAATAAAAAAAAAAAAAAAATAATAATAATAAAGCAATAGACTAAAATGGCTGTTGCTTTTAGATTTACATCTTTAAGATATATTCTCTTACATATACTACTTTGCAGAGAGTAGGCATTTAATACATGTTTGGTGATAAAGATCTGTGAACATAAAATACAGAAGAATGATTAAATAAAACATGAAATGAATTGATGTTGCCCAATGAAGAGCTTCGCACAGAGTAGGCATTCAATAAATGTTTGTTGATTATATCAGATTATAAACAGATTATATCTGATACATCAGATTATAAACTTAAAATACAGAAGAGCTATGATTAAAGAAAGTATGCAGTGAGTTGATGTTGCTAAACACACTCATTAACAAAGATTGTCAATGATTTTCGGAAGGCCACTAATGCCAAATAATGTAAATTCAAATGGTATAAGCACTAAGTGACTATAGCCAATAGCAGCATTTATTGAGTTATTACTATGTGCCAAGCACACGCAAAGTGCTTTATATAGATTTCATCCAACCTTCAAAAGAGCCTGGTGAAATGTGATAATCTCCATTTCAAATAATAAAACTGAGGTCCAGAAACTTCCTAATTTACCCAAAGTTACAATGAAATAACTGACAGAGCCAGGTTTCAAGCCTAGGTTTGCCATACTCAAGAACTCTTGCTCTTAAACATTACAACGTACTGACCGTGCATGCACACTCTCGCCCATACCTACAGTCCAACTAAACTAATTGCATTTATTTTCAGGTTGGAATCTGAAACACCTTCCCATTTTTCTATTTCAAAATTTTATGTGTGCTTATCTCTATTTTCCTATGATGAACATGTATTGTCTTCTTTTTTAAATTTTTTGTTTTGTTTTTGAGACGGAGTTTCACTTTTGTCACTCAGGCTGCAGTGCAATGACACAATCTTGGCTCACTGCAACCTCCGCCTCCCAGATTCAGGCGATTCCCCTGCCTCAGCCTCCTGAGTAGCTGGGATTACAAGTGCCCACCACCACGCCCAGCTAATTTTTGTATTTTTAGTAGAGACAGAATTTCGCCATGTTGGCCAGGCTGGTCTTGAACTCCTGATCGCAAGTGATCCACCTACCTCAGCCTCCCAAAGTGGTGCTGGGAGTACAGGCATGAGCCACTGCACCTGGCAGATTTTTTTTTTTTTTTTTGAGACAGGGTCTCACTGTGTTGCACTGACTGGAATACAGTGGCACAATCATAGCTCACTATAGCCTCAAACTCTTCAAACTCCTCAAGGTGGGAGGATCGCTTGATCCTCCCACCTCAGCCTCCCAAGCTAGGATGAAAGGTACACGCGCCACTACACCCAACTAACCCCACCCTCTCTCTCTCCCTCCCTTCCTCCTTTTTCTTTCTTTCTTTCTTTTTTTTTTTTTTTTTTTTTTTTTAAGAGGCTCTC